TTTAAAAAACATGCATCTTGATTTAGAAAACGTGTCTCTTGATACATGACATAAAACACGCGGGAATTGAAATTAAATTCTACAATCTTGACACATTCAAAAAGCAAATTGATGTTAATTTTATCGATCTTGATAGTGAATTGGTGGACTTGAATTATAAAGTTGCATCTTTGATATTTTGTCACTTTTGGCGTAGCATACGCCTTGCCGACGATGTTGGTCGCGTTCTTGGTTCGTCGCTCCCCGTATCGAGTAGGACTGGCCCTGTCATGCCCGCCCTGCATCAGTCTTCTTCTTCTGGACGCTACGTTCCATATGGCAGACGCAAAAAGAGGCAACCAAAATCGTATGACATGAAATTAGTCCTCGTTGACTTTATTCGTGAAGTCAACGATACTGGAAAAACCGAAAGTTATGACGGTAGTGTTCTCTTAGAGGCCCCGTTTCGTGTAAGAGATAATGAATCGGACTCTTCCATTCGAACAAGGATTCTCGCCATTGTTAAATCTAGATTTCCTTCGTTTAACGAAACTGTTGTGTACGCCTCCAGATAGGGCAGAGTAGTTTTAAATTTAAGTCCTTGTCAAACATTAGACGGTAAAGCAGTGTACACCCTTAAATCGAAGTCAACCAACAATTTGTACGTTATGTTGTCCGCTCCAGCACCTGACAGGCCTGATATCAAGGAAGAAAATGTCACATCACGGCACTAAAATGATATCAAGGTAGAAAATGTTGCATCACGGCAGTAAAATGATATCAAGGTAGAAAATGTCGCATCACGGCAGTAAAATGATATCAAGGTAGAAAATGTTGCATCACGGCAGTAAAATGATATCAAGGTAGAAAATGTTGCATCACGGCAGTCAAATGATATCAAGGTAGAAAATGTTGCATCACGGCAGTAAAAAGATATCAAGGTAGAAAATATTGCATCACGGCAGAAAAAAAAGATATCAAGGTAGAAAATGTTTGATCACGTCAGTAAAACGATATCAAGGTAGAAAATGTTACATCACCAACCGTAAAATGATATCAAGGTGAAAAATAACAATGGTTGGTTGATGCTATCACAGGAACATTTTATTGGATATGTCACAACCACATTACACAATACGTTTACAAATAATTTTGAAACAAACGGCGCGCCATATCAATCTCGTAGAAGGATGAAATACTGAAGTAAATCATTTTCTTGCACATAATTGAGGCCAGCACGAATAAATTTCATGCTTGAACAGGTTTTGAATAAACCTCGTGCTCTTTTTAGTAGATGACGATATTGGCTATTTTATCTTTCCCATAATACACCACGTTTACTACCCTCAAAATTTTGCATAACCGATGATTTCAATTTCTCCTGCATGGGTATTACAGTCGTCCCATGAGAAATTGAAGACATTGGTTATGCAAAATTTTGGAGGCATGGGCATCATGGGTAATGTGAAAATGGTGAATTGTCGAAAGGTATGCTGACCAGTACAAAAAGTAGTAATAATCTAAATCTTAAAATTTTATTACAAAGGAACTATCATTGATGGCTTGTGCAGCACCAGCAGCTCCATCTACCAAGGAAACCACTAATTATGCGCGGCTTTGTCGACTCTTGGTGGAGCTTGGTACCCACGCACTCAGGGACACTTTTGATTCCATACACGCACCAGCAACCCTGCATGCTGTTTTGGCGGGAAATATAACTACGCTACAATCACTGAGGGGCAGAAGGATTATTAATCCAACACAATGGGGAAAGCTATTTCCTACCATCCCTTCGTCTGTTTCGTCGGCATCATTCGACATCACTCTCCTGATGGTCTTGTTAAGGAACATCTGCGGTCTGGTTGCGCCCACGACTGGTATCCGCCCTGGATGGGATGTTTTGCCTGGCGCCACAGATGTGAGCCGTGAAGCCGATATTGCTCGGATTAAGTACTTTAGGAACACAGTGTACGTGCTGAGCACGCTTCAGTTGATGATGTAACGTTTAAAAGCCACTGGCAGAGCATTCGGGAATCTCTGGAGCGACTGGGGGGAAGTCAGCCTCGTACCCAGGCCTGTTCGCGCTATCCGAGTGACCAGAGGAGGCTTGGAACCGAGCGCGATAGCGCGAGGCCTGGCAAAAAATGGCAAAAAAGTCCCAGATCGACGAGAAAAAGTCCCAGATGATTTCTCGACGAAAATCCTTTGTTTTCTGCGACGATCACGGAATATTTCGGACTCATGAGATTAATACATCTCTTCCGAGCATCTTTGGATCGTTTCAACTGATAGCAACGAAATGTGGCGGGCATGTTTTCCCAAAAACACTGGTATTAAGTTAAGCATATCGTTTACAGTCTTGTTCGCTACACGAAGCTAGAAAAAAGTTTCTTCGTAGTTGGGCATGGGACGATCACTGTATACTGTATGTACACTAGTATCAAAGGCTTCATTTTCATTGAACAAAATGGGCGTTCATTTCCTAGTTACAGGGCTATAGTGGGCTTATTTTGCCTTTGTTGTTCGAATTGTTGGTAGAAAAAAATCACGAGAATCATTTACACGGTTTCGCGCGAAAAGCAAAAAAAAAAAAAACACTACATACCATTTTCAGCTGTTTGAATATGCTTTTTGCCCTTTATAATAACTTAGTACCTTGAACTTGTACCTTGCAGCTCCCAGTTCATGAAAAACATTCTAATAGTCTATTTTGAAAATAGCACCAGTAACTCATGTAATATTCGGGTGTCTTAGTTTTACCTGATTTTTAATGATATGACTATCATTCTGTCCTTTATATGATTGCGACTTAGAGCGATTTTACTTGACCCATGAATCATTTAATAACAACTATTGCAAAATATAGCTACAAATAAACAAAAGAAGACAATAGAATAAGTGCATGATAGTGCTTAGTATTCTACTTCCTGTTTCATGCGTTAAGTAAAATCACTCTGAAGGAGGCTGCAATTTTAGAGATGGGAAAATTTTGGATAGTTGACACTTAATCTTAATTTACCTGCCTGACAGGCATAATTTCTGAGCAAGATATTGTACATCAAATGTTTAGTTTTTTATTATATATTGTCTATTTTTTTACCTTCCTTTACATTCATTTTCAGAAAGTTTTGAAGGGGATGAAAGGAGAGTATGTAATAGATGACACTGGGGATGCGAAGGATACAGGAGCAAAAGGAAAATGTAATTAAGCTGAAGAAAACTTGAAATGGAAATAAAGATATGAAACCATGATGTTTAATATTGAATTTCTTAGGTTTCATCAAACAAAACTGTATTGATTTTATAAGGAAATTAGATTGATTTCCTTAGAAGCCATAGTTTTGAACACTTGTGAAATTTGTTAAGAGAAATTTTTTAAACCTGCTAACAACTACTTCTTGTCTTGTAAAACTTGCTGTGGGAATGGGTTGGGGGAACAACTTCAAGACCAACTCAAGACCTTTTTCCACTGAATTTGATGCCATAATGGTACCATTGGCTGGGCCAGCTACATGCCATTTTCAGCTCTTTGAATATGCTTTTTGCTCTTTATAATAACCTAGTGCCTTGAACTTGTATCTTGCAGCTCCCAGTTCACGCAGAACATTCTAATTGTCTATTTTGAAAATAGCACCAAAAACTCATGTAATATTATTTTTAAACTTATGACTCACTGGAAGACCACTGCTGCGAAAGTGGTTCGAGATAAAAAAGAAAACAGAAAAAAAAGGAAAGCACTTAATTTGAGTGTCAATGTATTCAGCACAAAGGTAATAATTGGGGACACTATTTTACGTCTACTACTGCCATTTTATATGGTCATGCATCCGAGCCACGCAAAGGTCTAGCCATTTGCAGCAGGGCAAAGGTAATACCTTCATTTCTCAGTCATTTTAAGATCCTGAGTATTGGTCCGACCCCGGGAATTGAAATTGTGACCTCCCACTCTGCAGTCAAGCACTCTACCAACTGAGCTAATCCTACCACGGTTGAGATAAAGTTTACATAAGATAGTAGTACAGTGGAACATAGAGCCTAGATATGGGGTCGTGCAACAACAACAACAATAGTTTCAGACATTAATAGAAACAGAAAGAAAGCTTGACTGAAAGTTTTCAACAGTCCCCAAAGGATCATCTCATTTAAATTGTGGGTAGATACACTGGCTGAAGATAACTTGGATATGGAATTAAATTTTATTCATGCTAAATGCTATAAAAGCATGGACACAAAGTGTTTTACATCTGATGCCGTTTCAGGATATTTGAACGCTCCTGATGTTACTCAGTACCTTGTAAACTGCCCCTATAGCTTGTATCTGCCACATTAAGGCGTATTCAAAAGGTTGACAGCATTTCATGACTTCTGTTTTGTATAGTTAATGGACAAAAGCAGCGTCTACGACTTGATCCACTATCGTTTAGGACTACACCTAGGCTAGAAGTCTCTCTTGAATTGCAATGCGCGCAGTGCTACGATTCGATTAACAAGTTCTGCATCTGCTAGATAATATGCTGAGTACAGAGCTAATTCGATGACACTTCTTTCACGAAGTTCAACATGGGTTAACTCATTCCCGACAGGCAGCTTCCTTCCCCAGGTACATTCAATGGGACATGTACACACTCCTGAGATGCGACGATTTGTTGGGCTGAATTAAATCCATATTTTTTGATACAATCAAAACTCGAAATTACTGACCTACGATAATAACAGGTGTACACGCGGAACGATTCCTTGAAAGAAAATTCTCCATCATCTCTAGGTATTTGATGGCAAACGTTGATTAAAGAATCCCAACCTATTTCCGACGCTTTTTTTCATTTCTTCAAGAATCTTGGCTGAAGTCGCATTCTTGGCGCCGCCATTTTGGATTTGCCATTATTTGCCAGGCGTCCTAGGCGAATTTTCCCGACAAGCTTGACAGGTGACGTCACATCCGAAATCGCCGAGGACGACTGGGAACGAGGCTGGGGGGAAGTGAGTACAGAGCTGCTATCGACCGTCTTGAAACGGAATGCATGGATCCTGACGCTGAACAACACTACATTGAACTGTTGGAACAGTGGAAGAAAGACGAGGACAACGTGAAAGATAAGTTAGAGAAAGTCATGAAAAAGCTGGATGAAATTGCTATTGAAGGTTAGTTAGTACTAGTCTACTGAAAGGCAACCTGTTGACCTGTTGTAGTATGCCCGGATGTCATCCTGCATATTGTACTTAGTTAATCCAGTTCCAGTTCCTTACATTTCGATCTCTAAGTCTTAATTGGTGAACAATGCAAATATAGAGGCAAGAACTTAACGTATTAACAACTAAAAACCGGAGATTGAGCTTTTTGTAAATTTTTTACCTCAGGTGTACCTTTCCAATGTTTTGAACAGGTTATTATTTTCAGTATGTGGAAGAGCAGGTCACTGAGTTGGATCAGGAGAACTGTTTCTGTTCAGTGGCGAAAATAATGATGACCTTCTCCTCAACGGTAATGTGCTTTTAATCGGATAATGCCCTCGCTCCTTGGGAGAAAGAAGAAAAAAGATCTCGAACGTACGGCCTCGAGGCCAAGGCATTATCCTCTGTTAAATTCAATCAGGCACAAGGTCATTTACGGACGGCTTGCCCCCACTCAAAAAAGCAACTTTAGTTGCCCATGAGATTGTAACACATTGTTACTTGTGAACCTAGTCTTTCACCGTCCGTAGAATTCCGAATCTAATTCCCTTTGAATACAGGCCTTTTTTTACAAAATTCGAAACGCAATAAAGTCTCCCACAAAAGCCCCTCCGTACGTAAGCGCCACCTTGCCTTACACCTTGCCTAGTCCCCAAAAGGCGTCTTCCCAGGCCTTCTCGGTCACTGTATTTTGGTGACGTATCCGAGAGGAACGCATCGGCCGAGCGCAATAATTCACTTTCCGTGGCTTTCATCTGCAAAATTGCCCTCACCTGCAAAATACCGTATATTTCCTTGAATAATAGCCATCTCTCTATTAGTCGCCTCCCTTGAATAATTGCCCCCCTTTGATGGAAATGTTTGAAATAATCACCTCCCTCGAATAATCGCCCCCGGCTATTACTCGAGGAAATACGGTACACAGTGCGTATGGAGATTGAAGAAGACATTCTCCTAGAATTTTTGCAACGACAATCACCTCGCACCGGTTAGTTTTCGACGTTAGCCAATGACGGGACATTTTGTCCTAGCACCCTTTCCCTCTTCGGGGTATAGGTACGGGTCAGCCTAGAAAGGGTACACTATGACAAAGCAGGCCATAATTGACTGATGTATAAACAAATTGGTCTTTTTTAGTGAAAACCTTGAAGCCGTCAGAAAAGAAGTTTGGATCAATTATGTGTAAAGAGAAATATCATGAAAATGAACCAGTGGAATACTTCTGTAAAGACTGCAAAGTTTGCATTTGTCACAAATGTGGAGTGACAGTTCACAACCACCACAACAAGAAGGATATACAACATGCTACTGAAGACATAAAAAGTCAAATGGAAACAACTGTTAAAAAAATTAAGGCGAAAGCGGTCAGTGTTGAAGCGAAGGTGACGGAACAAACTAATCTAAAGCTGAAAACCCAGGAAGAGATCTGTTCCGCTGAAAGGGAGATGATTAAGGCTGTGGAAGAAAAAATTCGCCTCTTGAACAAACATAGAGCAGATGTAAAAACAAAATTATCTGAAATCCTTGAAGCGCAAGTTGAAGAGCACGAGACTAGGATAAAACACTTTCAAATGGTTGCTGCACAGATTAACAAATTTGTAGGTAATGGCGAAGATTTATTAAAACAAGAGATCATCGGGCCTGAAATTCTGGAAACAGAGTGTCATGTGGTATTTACTGTCTTAGAAAAACTTTTGAATGACGAGGAAATGGATATCTATAAACCAAAGTGCGTTACCTATTGTGACAATAACAAACAAGAATGCCTGTTCGGTAAGATAGTTGAATTTCATCCTTACCCTTCCACTCCTGTTTGAAGAGAACCCGCCAGCTGCTAGTCTGAGTTCCCCATTTGAAGGGTCTCCAGTTAAAAGCAAAGTCGTTGCATCTTTAGGACCAGACAGGATAATAAAAATCTGTCACACCGTCAGCGTTGCAGTGAGTGAAACGACTGGGTACATTGCCGTGATAGAGCAGTTCAAACATGGAGTTCATTTGTTTGATTCTGAATGGAAATTTCTGAGGACGATAGGAGACAAGGGGACTGGTGGAGGGGTAATGGAAAATCTGAAATCAGTGGCATTTACTTCATCTGGTAACATCTTAGTGCTTCAAATTCCATCACCGTTTAAAAGCAGGTTGTCCGTGGGCGCTTTCCATTTAGTCAAAATTTCCGGAATTTCCGGTTCGGCGGTAAATGGAACACGTTTCGTCGGTTCGTCCCACTGGAAAATTCCCAGAAAAAGTGGAAAATCTAAAAAGGTGGTCCCGTTTTCCCGGTTGGAATTTCCGAACGGAATGTCGTGTTCCATTGACGTTTCTTGTAGTTTGTACCAGTTCCAGGTCCACGGTCGGGCACCCGGCCATGTACCGGGGTTTACGACCAAATGGAACAACTTTTTACCGATCGGAAATTCCACTTTTGCTACCACCGAAATTTCCGGGTTTTTTTCGTAAATGGAAAGCGCCCCGTATTTACAGAACGTGGTCATTATATAACCGATATCAGTGAGCACTTGTCAGTACCACGCAGTGTATCTGTTGGAAAATATGGTAATTTGTTAGTGTGTGACATTTTTGGCGTGAAAGTTCTTTCTCCTGATGGCACAAAGCTCATACAGACCATTAAAGCTCCGCACTGTGATGAGAACCCTTGTTTTGCTGTTTATCACCAAGGCATATTTTTTGTTTCCTATGACTCATTACATTGTGTGAAAACATTCAGTGATGAGGGGCAGTTCCTTTATGAGATTGGTTGCAAAGGAACTGGCGACGGGCAGCTGAGAAGCCCTCAAGGCCTTGTAATAGACAAATTAAACAATCTAGTTTTATGTGACACCAACAACAAGGGGCTTCAAGTTTTTTCTCTGGAAGGAAAATTCCTGAACTCTGTTACTGAAGAGGTTTCTCGACCTGGGTCGGTTACTTTTGTTAACAATGGCGACCTGCTCTTTTGTGATTACATGTAGTAATTTGTTTAAAGAACTTAATACAATCATGATTTCTCCAAAGAGAAAGCACGCACGAACAAAAAAGAGAACTTTTGTTCTCAAACTCTTTAATAATTCATTAAGAAAATACAAAGGAAATTAATGTTTAATGAGTGTTTGGAAATCGGATGAAACACTGCTTAGTATTTGCATCCTTAATTTCTCCTTCAAAAATGATTTTGTTTGAGAAGAAATATCAAACATTCGACACAGTGTTTCATCACCAGATGAAACAACTCGAAGTTCGTCAAAAATACTCCGCTGCGCGTCGTATTTTCAACTCTCTTCTAGGTGTTTCATCTGGTGATGAAACACTGCATCTCATGTTTGATATATTACGTCTAGATCAGGAGAACTATTAGCCAGCGTAATTTATCTCCGGAACGGTCGATCGATTTCGACTGGGTTCGTTCTGAAACTAAACCGAACCGACTAGAAATTTAGCTCATCGAGCTAATCACAGGGGCACCCAACGACAATTTTCGGGAAAATATCTGTTCGGAAGAAGATTTGAGATCTAGAATTTTCGGAACATTTGTTGTAAAATTTCTTGCTTGCCTGCCTCTCCTTGGATTTTCGAACATCTAAAAACTGGTAAAATTGCCCATTTTCAACGGATTTTTACCCTAAAAAGGTCACCTAGAATTTTCGGGAGCCTTTTTTCTAGCTGAAATTTTCGAAAAGGTAAGTTTTGATCCCTATAATTTTCGGATCGCTAGACTTTCATCTAGGAAATCCGAACAGATGAAAAATTTATAGGGGATAGAAATATGCCCATATCTACAGTTTAAGAGGCTGTCTCAGTAAAAACCGCCCACTCAATTTCGCGTGAAAAATAATTTTGCCTGAAACTCTGGCGAGTGAAAGGCTTTATCGAGACTATAACTAAAATAGGTTTGCTTTGATTCACAATAATTTTCTGGCCGCGCTGGGGGGCGCCGAGTATTTTGTCCCGCCACGGCTATTTTGCACGTCATGAAAACTGAAAATTTGGCATTTTTTGCGGCGCTGTAAAATGTTTGATTTGCACCATCTATCAATGAGTTTTATACCTATTTATAGGTAAACATCTCTAGTTTTTCCTGAAAGTAATAGTTCTCCGCTAAATTTAGCTGGAAAGACGAAATCAAGAAAAATATGACCCCAACTAATTGCCTTGGAGCGAAAGGCCAAAAATTACCCTGTTTTAAAAGCTTATTTCTGACTTTTGGGACATAGTTGAAAGCTCTAGACTAAATAGACGCAAAGATAGACCATCTGTTATTAATAATATACAAAACCCCATGTACGATTTCAGTATTTTAAAAGTTATGATCGTTTGTATCAACGGGTATGCGAGCTAATACGATATTTTTAGATTTAGCGTAACGGATCTACCTCAAGCAGATTTCGTCAAAAGTACAGCTTACTTAATTCATTACTGGCACTGACTCACAAATTGAGCCATATTCCAATCCCTGAGATGCCGGACTCCATAAAATTCCAGTAAATGTGCTTTAGAAACTGCTGGTATGCGGCCATTTTTGAATCCCATGCTAACAATCCGACGCTCAAAACAGGTGAAGCTGTGTCACGTTTCGAGCTAAATAGCTCGGTAAAACAACCGTTCAGAGGTGAAAGTTTTCTCGAGAATCAGAAAATCAACTAGGCAAGTCTCATTTTGGATCAGAAAATTGAGATTTCAGAGCTACAACCTCGAATAAACCATCTATTCAACCGGCTCGGCAAGGTCAAATGCAGGTTGACACGTAAACCGGAAATAGGGAAAACCGGAAATGCGGAAATCCGGATCATCCGGAAATCGGCAAATCTGAAATCAATCAGGAGCCGAAGGCAATTCCAACAATTAGAGACAGCTGCATTCGTTTAGGGCATCTTTTCGACGTTGAGGCACGTAAAAGAGAAAACCTTCCAAACCGGCGTAGCTGTTTGATTTTCACTGAACTGAAACGCAGTTCCACGATCGATTGCGTTTGGCAAATAGGCTCCATAAGAAACAGTAAATATCATTAACCGGTTATAAACATTCTATGTGCGCTAACTTATCACACCTGTGACTAATACTTTACAGAAGTTGGCTATATATCGAAACTGAATGTGTCGAGATCTAGGAAACAGGGGGCGCTTTCCATTTAGTCAAAATTTCCGAAATTTCCTGTTCGGCGGTAAATGGAACACGTTTCGTCGGTTCGTCCCACTGGAAAATTCCCAGAAAAAGTGGAAAATCTAAAAAGGTGGTCCCGTTTTCCCGGTTGGAATTTCCGAACGGAATGTCGTGTTCCATTTACGTTTCTCGAAGTTTGTACCAGTTCCAGGTCCACGGTCGGGCACCGCCACGTACCGGGGTTTACGACCAAATGGAACAACTTTTTACCAATCGGAAATTCCACTTTTGCTACCACCGAAATTTCCGGGTTTTTTTCGTAAATGGAAAGCGCCCAGGGGCACCCAACGGCAATTTTCGGGAAAATATCTGTTCGGAAGACGATTTGAGATCTAGAATTTTCGGAGCATTTGTTGTAAAATTTCTTGCTTGCCTGCCACTCCTAGGATTTTCGAACATCTACAAAATGGTATAATTACCCATTTTTAACGGATTTTGACCCTAAAAAAGGCCACCTAGAATTTTCGGGAGCCTTTTTCTGGCTGAAATTTTCGAGAAGGTAAGTTTTTATCCCTATAATTTTCGGATCACTAGACTTTCAGCTAGGAAATCCGAACAGATGCCTATATCTACCGTTTGAATACTAAAGTACGTTCACCAATGCTATGTTAAGTGGTTTTGAACTATATCCTCGTTGGGTGCCCCTGAGGAAACCGAGCCAGCTTGGTTGTCTGGGCTTATTAGTATAGAGGGTCCTTGAAAGTCACTTGTTAAGGGGGGATTCTGGTTGTTTTTTCCGGGGAAAATGATGGTGATTTGCGAAAGAAATAAATAAGAGTAGAAAAGGTATGCACATAAAGCAGTTAGTCCGCTAATGGGATCAGAGGCACTCCTTGCTGGAGTCTCTGGTATTAATTTTTCTTCAGATTATTCACTTCATATTGTATTTTTAACAACCCCCTAATCCAATATTCTCCAACTTTTCCAACATTTTTAACATCCTACCTAATTTTTATCCATTAAAAACCTTCGAAGAATCATCCAGAAATTCTCTAAAAATTATTCAACCAATGCCTCAATCTTAACTGAGTCATTTTTTGATTCACGGATAACGCGAGGAGAGTAGAGGAAAGTCATTTGGATTATAGGGTATGGTTGCAAGAAACTCCCATTTAATCTACAGTAGCTTTAAGAAAGGATTTAAGTCTGTATGCATGTTTAGACCTTAAGACCAATATTAACACCGAATGGTAACACTAGTGGCAAGTCCTAGGCGTGACCCTTGTTGTAGACCAAAAATCCGACGCAATATGGCCAAGAAGGGGCTAAGACACTTTGTTTTAAGATTAGCTACAAAACACCGTTAAATGGTCGAAAAAATAATCCTACATTTGTCGAAAAATTTGGTTTTCAGACCCCAAACGAAATCTGCTTAGCTGATGTTTTCATTCCCGGACAAGTCTCGAAACGTGAAATACCGTAAAATTCCGAAAATAAGCCCCGGTTCTTATATTTTTCAAAGGCCCTTTTTGAGGGGCTTATTTTTGCACGGGCTTATATTCGTAGGAGCTTATGTACGGAGGGAAGTTTGCGTTTCAAAATCGATTGGGCTTGCTTATAGTTGGAAGGAAATTAACCGTTTTTGCTTTGTTTTACTTTGTATTTGAGGACAATTTTCCAGCACAAGATCCCGGGGGGCCTATATTGGAGGGGCGATTACACGGAGGGTTTTTTGTGTTACGAGTTTGGGGGAGCTTATACATGGAGGGGCTTATTTTGGAATTTTACGGTAGTTTCAGCATGGGATTCAAATATGGCCGCATAGCAGCAGTTACAAAAGCGAATTGACTAGAATTTTGAATGAAATATTGGTCAATTTTTTAGTCAGTGCCAGTAATGAATTACGTAAAGTTTGGGAGGAGACGGAGGAGGAAAATCTAGTTCCTGTTTTAAAAATAGTCAAAGGGACTGGAGAAGATTCAGGAAGAGGATCAGTAAAATTTGAAGAAGGCTTTCTCCCATTCACTCAAGCCTTCCCCTCCCTGATCGGTTTCTTATAAACTTACTCACCGGCCGGGACTATTTATCCGCTCATAACAAGTGATTTTCAAGGACCCTCTATACTAATAAGCCCAGACAACCAAGCTGGCTCGGTTTCCTAGATCTCGACACATTCAGTTTCGATATATAGCCAACTTCTGTTAAGTATTAGCCTCAAGTGTGATATGTTAGCCCACATAGAATACTTGTAACCGGTTAATGATATTTACTGTTTCTGGGAACTGCGTTTCAGTTCAGTGAAAATCAAAAAGCTACGCCGGTTTGGAAGGTTTTATCTTTTACGTGTCTCAACGTCGAAAAGAAGCCCTAAACGAATGCAGCTGTCTCTAATTGTTGGAATTGCCTTCGGTTTCTAATTGATTTCATATTTGCCGATTTCCGGATGATCCGGATTTCCGCATTTCCGGTTTTCGTTATTTCCGGGTTTCAACATTTCCGGTTTACGTGTCAACCTGCATTTGACCTTGCAGAGCCGGTTGAATAGAAGGTTTATTCGAGGTTGTAGCTCCGAAATCTCAATTTTCTGATCCAAAATGAGACTTGCCTAGTTGATTTTCTGATTGTCGAGCAAACTTTCGCCTCTGAACGGTTGTTTTACCGAGCTATTTAGCTCGAAACGTGACACAGTTTCACCTGTTTTGAGCGTCGGATTGTTAGCATGGGATTCAACAATGGCCTCATACCAGCAGTTTCTAAAGCACATTTACTGGAATTTTATGGAGTCCGGCATCTCAGGGATTGGAATATGGCTCAATTTGTGAGTCAGTGCCAGTAATGAATTAGGTAAGCCGTACTTTTGACGAAATCTGCTTGA